ATGCACCTGTATATATATATATATATATATATATATATAATAAAAACAGACTGGTTGAGAATACATTTTTTAGCCACAGATTCATTCAGACTTCATTTAACACTGGTCTCTTTGAATTAAGAAACTACCTAAATTCCAGATCCCACACAAGAGTAAAATATATTGCTGTCTGACAAACAAACAAACAGCTACAACTGCAGGATAAGACATGGACTGTCTTTCCTCTTATATAATATTTCTCTTGCTTGTATTTTTTGCCCTACAATCAGTGTATAAGACGTTATTTAGTTTTTTTGTTTTTATCAGATTCTTTGCACCACTGTTTAACGCAGCAAGAGCCATTTTATTCAATGAGATGCCACAACACAATTTGGCCATTGAAAATCCAAGCAAAAATTAAAAATGAATGTGTAGAGCTTTAAAATATCTTGCTTTAAAGGCAATAAGCGGATCCCTCTGTGTATCTACACAGTTACACAGGTGTGCGAAGACGCACACGTTCACACACACTCCAAGTGATTTGACCTATCAGTATCTGTGACAGTTGCTCTACGGGGATAAACTCCAGGTTTTCCCAGTGGGAGCAAGAGACTGTCTACCTGTCATGCAGCGTTTGGGGTTCATGAAGCCTGGGCAGCTTCTGTTTGTCACTGCAGAAAACACATTTAAGGTCAGTAGTCACTGGGATGATTAAAAGAACAGGAAGTTAAATGTGTACAATGAAGCAAACAAACCAGTGAGAGAGTGTCAATGTTCTCAATTCAACACTTCAACCGAGTGAGGTCTTTTGGTATCTCCTCCGGTCTGCCCCAAGGCTGCAACAAGCTCAGCAATGGTTGTCCAAAGGGGGCGTCGCAGGGCATGCAGAGACCAAAGACCCTGTCAAATTGGAAATACAACTTATTTAATTAGTCAAGTCCTTAGTCAAGTGTTCGGTTTGCCAGTGTTCAAATGAAGGGTCAGTCGTGAACTAAATGACTTCAGACACACAAAAGGAAGTGTCACACCATACGTCCGTCACCTGACACACCAGCCTTTAGCATTGGGTCACTTTGTCTGTTCTTTAAAAAAAATTAGACTTTATCAAATATTACACCCAAGCACATAGCTCTGTGAACATTGAATCAACAGCTATAGAGTAAATGGCAAAATCATCCGAGGTGAAGAGTTGAATTTAAGTGGCAACTTAGCTGTGTGACATGGTGTAAATTATAGTGCACTTATTGGGCCTCATTCATGAAACACGAGCAGAATAAATGTTTGTGTAAATCATTCTTAAAGCTGTTCTGACGTAAATTTTCGGATTCATGAAAGTGTTCGTATTTTCAAAATGTTAGTTGGTACCAAAGAAATTTACACCTGCTCCCTGCCATGTGTAAATGGTGCGTAAAACGTTCTGTGTTCTTTTTGGCAAACTGATGACACTGAATTTTGATGCACTGCCATCATAATATTGTACAAGTTTGTTTGCTCTGTTTTTTTTGTTTTGTTTTTTTTGTAGCTGAGAGTTGATAAACTGTTTAGCTTTGGGTAAAACACAGCGCTTGTCACTGTCACTTTTTAACCAGCCGCCAATCAGTGGACAAGAGGCGGGACAAATACTACACCGACCAATCATCCTACTTGTACAACAACTGAACAACAATAGAGAAGTTAACATTGCTGGTTACTGCATTTTTATATTCAGTAATATTCTTCAAAATGAGATACTAGTAATGCGTTACTGCCGTGGATATTCCAAATTATAGCATTCAAAGCGTCTCAGCTTGAAAAACGCTGTGCCACCAATGCGTCCTGCAGTGCCACCAGCTGGTCGTTTTCAGAAGAGTGCCTGACAGTTTTCAGATGGCTAAAAACGCTTTAGTGGACACACGTTATTGAAT